ATTGCCAGGACTAAAGGCAATACGAAGAAAAGATAAGTTCTGTCCAACATCTGCGAAGAGAGGAAATAGAAGTTAGAATTTTGGTTGCTCCGCGAGAGAAAATGGATGGAAAAACATCATATAGAAAGTTGTCGTGTTCCTCTCACCTTTGAAAAGGATACTATTCTAGTTACGCTATAACGTTGCTGGTATGGAAAAGACTGGCACAAACTTATAAGCTCAAAAAAACTTTCTTTATAAAATGTTTTTGTTTGAGCTTTCAAATAGTACTAGTTTAATTAAAGATGTGTGCAAAAAATATACTATCCGTGATGACATTTGACACTCTGATTGTCGTAAAGAATATTTACCTTCTTTGTGAAATGATTGATTTGAATGAACTATCTGACAGGGGTTTTTTGCCTCCTTCTAGATACTAAAGGCATAATGTTCCGACTATTCAATCTCCTTCTTGCTGAATCGAAAGCAATCTGCAAATGCACGGGGCAAATTTGTTTTTGGTCACAATATCGCTACAATCTAAGTTCAATATTCTTAAGTTATAAATACATGTTTGATTGCTTAAAGAATATTTTGAAGTGATCTCCTTCACTTTTTGCCATCCCTCTTTTGTTCCTTAGTTGTTTTTATGTTTTATTTTTCCTTTCAGTCTACTTCTCGTGGTCATTTGCCTCAGATACCAAGCCATAAACGGCCTTTTTATCTGCAGCTGTTAATTGATATTTCGCCTGCAATTGTTTTAACTTTCGCTTAAGCTCAGTTTTATAATAGACAAAATAAGCAAGGAGATTTTGATTAACATTGTTAGTCTCGCTGCATGCGACTTCAACAGTAAACCTGACAATTTTTCTCGGCCCTAATATCCCTTATTTATTTATGCGATGTCCTTTTACCTTGACATTTTGCGACAATTCGTAACAACCTCGATTAAAACAGATGGCTATAGTCGTAATTTTCGCATTGTAGGCGGAAAAATTGGCTGATTTTACCGTAATGGAAAGTGATCATAATTATTTTAACATACAGACTCCATTACCCGAGTAAGGCTATTAATTTTGGGGCTCTTCTTCATAAAGTTTGAACGGAAGTGTCAGCTATGTCAACAATAAAGTTCCTTGTCCGATGATAAAAACCATAGAAACATCACGTATGAAGAATATCTTACATCAAAATGTTAGCAGATTTTTGATGAATTTCTAAGGAAATTTTTTTTTTATTGATTTGGGTATCGGTTAACTGAATGAATTTTAATTTTTGAAAAACCTTGAAAAGCTAGAAAACTTTCTTGAAAGGCTTACAAGTAAGGTTATGTTCTCCGTTAACTCTTTTTACTGAGCAGAATAGTGATGTCCAAATCGTCGGCCCTCATTTGACAGATACAAATTGTTCTTCTCCTTTGCAACTGGATTTTTTATGGCCAGAAAATAGATAAACCATGTGCCAACTTTGCTTTCGAGTGTTATTTACAGCTCAGATAGGACTGAATTTATTAATAATAATCAGTTCCTTTTCTGCTCCTGAAAACCGGCAACTTCGTATTTTTTTTTAAATTAAGTTAAAGGGATTTCAAAGTGCATTTAGAAAAACAGAGATGGTGTGGATTAATCTTGGAAATTGAGGAACCAACAACCAAACCGTCGGCGGAAATTTTGCATTAGAAAATAGTTAATCGATCATTGAAATGTTTAAGTCGGACTCAAAGTTGGCGAGTCATCAGAGAGAAACTGATCTCATCAAAACATTTGCGAGTGGACACATTTTTATTCTACTCACCTACTATAACTACAATTCAACCGGTCAAGACCTAAGTTATATGTTCATCATCTTCAATTCCCGAGATATGAAATGATCTTTCTTTTCCTTTTATCAAGAGAGCAATTAAGACGGAATCCATTATTTTAATTTTCAGTAGACAAAAACCTTGTACCGAGAATTTTTAAAGCCATATCGCATTCTTTTTTACACTTTCAACTGAAGGGCTATGGAAGTTAAGCCCAAGAAAATAAATTTCAAATTTAACAGGAACTGAGAAAACACAGGTAAAATCGTAATGCGTAAGATTTCATTTTGTGAAATTTGAGGCTTTGGAAGTTTGTTTTCTCGGGCTCCAATAAGAACCTTTTCTTCGGAGTTATTTCAAACAACTTATTACATTTATGACCCTTGAAAAGTGTGAAAAAGAATGCAATATGCTTGAACATACTGGTACAGGGTTTTTGTCCACTGAAAATGAAAGTTACTCAATTTCCTAATGCATTTTGTTTAAAAACGGAATTACTTATGTGTAACCTTTATTAGTCACATCCTTAATTTGCCATAATGGAACACTGACGTGCCACACATTAGAAATCATTTATTTCTATAATAAAGCGATGTTACTAAACTTCAAAAAAGGACGACTGAAATTAAAACTGAAACAAAATAAATAAGGGAAGGTGAATGTGATCGGTTACCGGCACAGGTGAGCGGCGGACAATGTGTGTAACTGCTTTAAGGTGATTCCCTAGTAAAAGAACCTAACATAGATTTTAGATGAAACTTGGTACACTGATGCAATAAGTCAAGAAGATGATAAAAAGGTAATAAAAAGTGGGGGTCACCGTGCTCGTTTTGACGTCACAATGCCGACAAATACGGCTATTTTGGACCCTTTGACAAAAACCGCTCGCAGCCCAAAACTAGACAAAAAGGAAAGATTTTTTCAATGATGCATATGGTATCGCACAGAATTTGACTTTAATGTATTGTTTATCCACTTACGTACTAGAAAAATGCCTTTTAATGCCCTTGTTTTTACTTTACGCTCCAAAGTAGAATTAAATTGGACACGCGCTATTCGACACGTGATAGCTCAATCCGTACAATTTAGTAAAATTGCCAAAAAACTGAACATAGATTTGTGCCAATTTTTTTCTCACCGAAAGGAAGCACTGTCCTTATTAAAATCATGAAATAAAAAAT